TTATCAAGCTGATAACTTTTTATGGCCTTGTTCAGTCACACTTTGTTATGGGCCACCACCACCCTACAGAATATAAAAAAAAACTTCCGACTCTGCAAAAAAAGAAAGGAAGAAAAAAAAAATGCACTACGTGTGGTCGCTAATATGCCATACTTCTCCCACACAGGCGCTCTATTTACACGAGTTAATGTAGTAAGCTTGCCAGACCTTCATAACTACCGCCTTCTAACCACGTATAAATCTGGATTAAAAGTCATACGAAGCTAGTTTCTACAAGTTACAAAACTACCTGAAAGCACTAACGCCCATCGTACGCGTCAATGTAAAAAAAAAAAAAATGGTTTGTACCCACCCCTCGTACCAACAACGGCATTGCATCTGTCAGATGCATTCTTCTATGTCTACTAAACACATTTCAGGAACGGCAAGATTTGTAATTTGATGGTCTATTCATTCCGTCCTCTGCATTGTGAGCATCATTTATTCATTCAATAGTTTTCATTGTGTGCTTTGTTAACGACTGCATAAGTGATGATAAACTATCATCATCAAGGTCCCCTCGTTTTATCAGTGCTTGCATCACTGATCTCCATCGTATACAGCTGGCTGGATCGGGTATCGAGGCTTGTCTTGCAGGTGCAGAGCGGCACCACCAGCAGCCATCGTTTGACACCAGCTAATGCATGGGACTTTATGGGAGAAATGAGAAAAGCCACAATTTCTTACCTTAGTAGGCTGTTCTCGACAATGAACATTTTATCGTGTTTTCCGGGAATGACAGTTAATATTCTGGGCGCAAATATCTAAAGCGGCAGAATAACAATCTTTTAAAAATATTTGTTTTGCGGTTGAGGGTCAATGGTTGTGACTTTGTCGGGAATAATCTGTGGTGTGTTTATGCGGTTCAATGAGACCAGGGTTGCCGGGAGTCAATGTGGAGTCGTTCGTGACCTCAGATTATCAGAGCTTAGCAGACGATAAGTGAGATTGCCTTTGCTGGGGACATTCGCATCGTTTCGAGCGCTTGTACTGAGTACTTCTGGTGCAAGCTTTTCCTTTGAACTGCTTCGAGGGCTTCTGTGACTCGAAACTCGGAGCTGTCGCTCATTTGTTGAACGTGTTATTTATTTAGAAATTGGAGCAAGCGACGCTGGCACAGTCGGTTGTGCTCCGGCACATTTGATATTTTTTTAATGCGCACGCTTGACAAATAGCGATTATATTAGGACCGAAGCACGTCATAAAATACTCGCATTCGAGCACCGCGTAGAAGCTTCAATATTCCTATTTTTGTGTGTTTCTCTTATAAACATGCGTGTATTGGGTGGTGCTGTCAAGCAATGGCCGCCGGTGGTGCCACCGGCATGCTCCCGTTCCGCGATCCAGCTATACCGGCTATACTACAATAGAGATCAGTGGCTTAATTCTGTAATGAAGTACACATGTCAGGCATTCTCTTGTCCCGATTAAAAAGTACTTCACCCCCCCCCCCCCCCTTTAAAGAAAAGGAAGAAAGAATTTACACAAACAACAAAGATGCAGCCAACATTGCAAAAATACGCTAATGTTTCGAAGAATCCATCATTATATATTATGCCTCTAGGTTGAGTGATGGCTGTAGATGATGGAAATACGAAGGGGTTTGCCTGGACCAGTTGCTGAAGCGGGCTATTGCGTAACCTCTATGTTAAAAATGCGGTATGCACCGTACACCGTCCGTGGAAATGTACAAATAAATGATGACTGCTGAATAAGGACGCCTCTATAAAGCCTTCATTTATTAAAGAAGAAGAGTGAAATCTATTCGCGATGTCGCAAGGAAAATAACAATGTACACCAAATTTCCAAGTGGCTGGAAATGTTCGCTTGAGGCTGGTGTAGCACATCATAATCGGTCCTACACGGCAGGGTTGGGATGCAGTGCTCTCTTCGTGGTCTCGGGAAAGGCTCCGATGCTGCCTGCTGACAGCCTGCTTGGGATTGCTGAATGAATAGATATAAGGAACGTAGAAAGACAGATGATCAACAAGAAAACTATCGCTATCAGATGAAACGGCATTCAGATAAGCGACACAAGACTGAGCTTCCAAAGCTACGGGTGGGTGACTTTGTCTTGGTCCGGAAAGGCCTGCCAGGATTTGCTTCACAGTTCAAGGGGCCTTACCAAGTCATCAAAACCGCAGTGCAAGAAGCGCTTCTCAGAACGGTGTGGTACACTGGACCGAACAACACGGTATAGAAGTAGTGCTGATTACCAGCATCTTTAAATATCATTCCAGGAGGAATGAATTGACCGATCTCACCAGGCGTTTGGCGCATGCGTGACGCCGCCATAAATTTTAGTTCACAGGAGGCAAACGGTAGTGCACGAGAGGGCTTGTGCCGGCTCGTGCTCTACACGCGCAGAGCCCCACCGAGGTTATCGCACGTGCCGAAATACTAAAGTTACCTATATTCATTGCGGCAGCGGTGGACAGTCAATCTGGTTGGTGAGATCGGTCTATTCACAAGCCAAAAAGACGGAAGAAGACCAAAAAAAAAAAAAAAGAAGATTAAGCAGCGCAAAATCTCTAGGGTGTCCGAATAATAAAAAAAAGAAGAACGTTGGGAATTAAGATGGCGATAAATGCGTTTTGACATTTCTTCGGAACGCAACAAACAGTAAGAAGAAGACGACGAAGTTCGAATCCTCGTTCTCTTCTCATGGTGGTCTGAAAGAATCGCCGTACTTACCGGCCCCGCGTGACCACTCTCAGCGCACATTCGAAGACGAAGTTTGTTACACTCCCAAGTTTATATGATTGCCGAAAAATCCCGTCAGTCTCAACGCAGCATCCGGGATGAAGCTGAACGTCGCCACCTTCCTCTTCCTGGCGCTCGTAGGTGCGTCTTTCGAGCTCGACTTTTAACATAATGCACGTCACCCGCCTCGCATCGGCGCTCCTATACTACTTCGGCCGAATCGCCTGTCTATAACGGGGCCGTAGGACGCCATTCTAATCGGAGCATTCTAACTTCCCATTTGACTCTTTCATGACGGCCATATACAGAACATGCAATGAAAGACAGGGAAGACGATCTAACACCCCTTGATCTGTTTGCGTTCGGTTTACAACTGGAGTCAAATGCGCCCACGCACAGGGCCTGTGCCCCGTGCGGTCTTTGGGAACTGATGTCGGCGCAGCAATGAAATGAGCTGCTCTTGGAGGCAAATGACGATGTAGCACACGCTCGTGGCACGTGTATCAGGCGATCGTACAACCTTGGTAATCGGTACTTGTAAGAAACTTGTGTTATCAATGGCCGTGAGGCTTTCGTGTCATGCGGGCAGATATCTCGGTCCATCGGCACCTCGAAAAAGTTAACACATGGCTTGTTCTGACTTCACATCAATGGTCATTGTGAAAGACGTGGCTGTTGCGCGGGTACCTTCTGTGTAGAATATAGCATTTTACACCGCCGATGTCTTTTTCTTGGCAATAACAAGTAAGAATGACGGTAGGCAGGCATGTAGCCAGGATTTTGTTTCGGGGAGGGGGGGGGGGGGGGGGGGGGGGAGGCCGCCCATGACAAAATGCTGTATGAGGGGGAGGGGGAGACGAGTCCCTAGCAAAATGGAAGATTTCGGGGAGGGGGGGGGGGGGGGGGCGGGCCCCATGGGCCGCCGCCCTGGCTACGTGCCTGACCATAGGTACAGTATGATGAAGCCACTTGCAAGCCATGTAAACAGCTCGCCGCTAACGCATGTTTATTGGTATAAAGTTTGGCAAAGGTCGTAACGGTTTAGTAGTCTTGCCTGCTTGCAAAAGAAAACAAAGCTTTTCTTGGCGATTCATACCAGCTTCCGCAGTAACGCCTTTTCACTGACGTACTTTTTTTGGGCAAAGAGTAACGCTCAGTTAAACGAAAGAGAGGACTGCAAATACCGTGCACTCGAAGTAGCTGCGAGCCGTGGTGCCTGTGTTTTTTCTGATCACTACTACTGCGTTCGTTGAGCTCCAACTGGAGACTTCTAAAGAGTTCTGGGGGATAGCATGGGGCCGTGGAACAGAAAACAGAGTAGCCGAAGGATACATATAAAAACAGACAGCGCAAAGAGACCAGGGTACGTGGAAGGTTAGCACAATTTTCTTAGAGTGCACGTATCAAGTAAATTAGAACCCATTTTAAATCAATCGTTACGATCTCTTTTGCAAGGGACGAGAATGTGGCATGGCCACAAAGGTGCGGTTAGATGCCGATTTTCTTTTTCAACATACCTGAACGCGTGTAGCGTGTCCCATAGGGATCATGGCACTGGCGTTGTGAGGTACCAACGGGGCTGCAAAGCACCAAATTCTAAGCAAAAGAGACGGCACTTTGTTTAAAGAAAAACTAAAGTTGTTGTGTATTTTAGAAAAAAAAAAAAACACTTAAATTGTCTTTATTTGGTTTCCAGGATTACGAATATATATATACATATATATATATATATATATATATATAAAAATATACTTCAGATAGATGCGCCAAGTAGCCACAAAAGCGCTTTCAAGATAGCGCTGAAGCCCCTCCTTCCCGTCGCGTTCGGTGCGAGAAGGAAATCATGACGTGTTTAAAACCTCTGGGTATGACGTCATACCCAGCGGCCGTTTCGTTTTCGGTTTTTCCCCACGTCTATCGATACGTTCGGGTCAAACGCTCGTGATATTGAAATTAGCGGGACAAAAATACGCAAGAATTTACCTTTTGTGAAGTTAAAACTGTGAAAGAAATTTTGAAGATATATTAAAATTCTCTTACCTCGTCTTTGATGATTCGATAGTACACCTACACACGACTCGACATCAGCACGCGTGCGTATAATATTAACTCGTATAGTACCTCGCTTTTCCACCGCAATGTATGTGTGCACTTTGAGGTGTGTTAGTGCTGCTGTCCGATTCGCCATTTCGCGTGGCATATTGGCAGTTTCTGTCTCGGAATTTCGTTCATGGGACCACATCTTGTGTTGAGCCGACATGGCGTGGCTAAGGGTCGTGGGGTGGTGTTGTTTCGCAGCCGGGACGGCGTGTGCTGAGTTGGCGCCGCCGATCCTCGACAGCAGCGGCAGGCGCAAGTCGCCGTTCTACATGTTCTCCAAGCCTGCGGAAAGTCGTCCTTCCTGCGTATTCGGCGCGGTATGACGACACATTCCTTGGGTATCAAGCAGGGTGGCCCAGCTGGCGGGTTTGAGAAACGCCCCACCTTTCTCGAGCTGTCGAAATCAGTGAGGTGGAACCACGTCGCTGGAAAAGCCAAATGTTGGCTAATTGAAAAAAAAAGAAGTAATTAGGAGAAAAGAAATTTGAAAGCAGTATTTATTTGACTACTCTCTCCTTTTTTTTAAACATGAAACGTCACATGTAAATTTAAATATAAATTCAGTATACTTTGACAGCGAGACAGCCTTTTATTGGTCATAGTGTCCGGAATGCAGATGGATTCAAATACAACAATAATCCCTTTTATTATTTTTTTATTCAGAATCATACAGCCTCACCGTCACGGGTTAACACGAGTGACAGGTTAAAACAACTCAGACATCTCCTGAGCAAAGAAAACTTTCAAGGCTACATAATTCCATCCGAAGATGCTCACAAGGTAAGCCTCAGCTGGGTGCAATTCCTCGAGTATTCATGTCACGCCATACAACTCAAATAACAGCGACTACTCTTTGCCTCGCGTGATGACGCAAGCTTTGGGTATACCCGGGAGGAAGATTTCAATGTCTCGTAATTCTCGCAGAGTGAATTTGTTCCGAATCACTACAAGAGGAGGCAGTACATTACCGGATTCAGTGGAGACACCGGTAAGTTAGGGCTCGAGACATTACGACTGCAGATGTAAGTGAGTGATAATAACTAGTCCCCTTTTTCTTTCGTAATTTGAGCATCTTCAGTAGTCACGTGCTTCCGTGCACCGTGTCGCCAGCATCACATAGATGGTGGTTTATTCGCAGGAACTGCCGTGGTTCTGAAAAATTCTGCGGCCCTATGGGTAGAAGGCCGGTACATGCTTCAAGCTGAAGAACAGCTGGACTGCAACTGGGTCTTGATGAACGGCGGCCAAACGGACGTGCCTGTCATTGAGGAGTGGTTCAAAAGCAATCTCCACGGCAGTTCAAAAGTGGCCATCGACTCTAGAGTCGTGCCCTTTCAGGAGGTACGTTCGATCATGGGTTTTGCGAAAAATAGGTAGGTGTTTAAAAAGATCACCACATTGTCGCTTTCAGTACCGCAAAATGGAGGAAAACCTGCATCCTTTCGGAATTGAGTTGGTTGGTGAGCCCCGAAATCTGGTGGACGAGATTTGGACTACTGCGGAAGGCAGACCAGCCGAGAGTAACGCCAGCATCACTGTTCATAACATTGAATTTGCTGGTGCGTACCTTTTTGTGAAATAGTGTGTGAACAATCTCAAGGAACTATTTTTTTATATGTAAAGTAGTTTTCGAGGGAGAGTCTCGCCCGTTGTGAAATGACGTATTTTTGGTCAGCTTTAATCTTCTTTTTTTTTTTCCTCTGAGCGCGGCGAGATTTTAAATAATTCTGAATAGAAGATTACGTCTCATGATCAAATAGCAAATTGCCATCTGAAGAAACACACTTAGAAACTCGCAAGCTGTTTCGTCATTGTCCCCCGTTTGAGTCTCATTATGGGACTCACGACGTTATTAATAAATGATGTAAAACAAGAACTTACCTTGAGCGTTTGGCTGATGGTGGCGAAAAATGAAAAATTGACGAAGAGGCATCGCGTGGAATTTTATTGAGGCAGTACGATTGTATATGATTCGCTTGAGTGAGTAAGAACTTTAAGATACCTATACATTTCAACATGAGCGTAACGTCAGTGGCAAACGCTTACGCAGAAAACACAGGAGACATTACTGTTGCTCACGCTTCCCATGGAATTATTTGTAAGTGCGTGTTATTTCAAATGTTTCTTATCAAATACTGTACACGCTTTTTGCCTTTTTTACTATTTATCTATATTATATTGTTTAAAATAATTATTAAGCATCGTTTCTCGACAGAATAACTCGTCTCTACGTTGCGTTTTTTTTTTTTTTTTACATTTGTCTACATATTTTTTTGCGGTTCTCACGGGCAAAAGTGAGGGTGAAGAAATGAACAGCCGTGTATTGTGGCCCGTCCAAAATAAAATTGAATTTCGCAGGGGAGAGTTGGCAGGACAAGGTTCGTAAAGTGCGTGAATTTCTCAAGAAGTCGGGCATTGACGCCATCTTCATAACGGATCTTGGAGAAATTGCATGTGAGTGTTGCGACAGCGTCGGTTTATAGAGTACGCTGCTGACAGCGTGCAAAATGGTGGCGAAACCACTTGACTCTTGCCTTCTCGTCCGCCTACGCAGGGTTGTACAATCTACGTGGAAATGACGTGCCGTACACCCCAGTGTTCGAAGCCTTCGTGTTCTTATCGCAAGACGAACAGAAGTAAGACTCACTGCATTATACTTTTTTTTTTTTTTTTTTTTTTTTTTTTTACGTACCGTAAATTTTTGATCGGCACGATTCTAACGAATTGTCTGCTACTGAACAACGTATTTGCAGACTTTACGTTAACGGTAAGAAATTGACTTCTGAAGTTCGAAACTACCTCATCACGGAGGAATGCAACAACTGGGCATGCGTGCAGGTACGAAGAGAGTGTTAAACATTCTTGGCTTGAGAGTTTTTATTTTCTCTCTTCAGCGCTGCGTTGGAACCAGCACGACCTTTAATTTTTTTTATGCCGTTTACATTTCAGTGGAAGAACTATCGACTGGTTTATAATGAAATGAATGTCAATGGGAACTCTGTGAACAGACTGTTAGTGTCGCCGTTCTGCAGTTATGCTATCTGTGGACACATCGACGTCGTAAGATGCTTTCCGTCTATTGATTACGTCAGTTAGACGAAACGAAAGGCATGCAACACTCAGAAATAAGGAGCCCTAAAAATAACCTCATATTTATTCGCAGGACAAACTCGTCGTCAGTGAAGCACCCGTGAAAATGATGATGACCGTGAAGAACAACATCGAACTACGGGGTTTGAAAAACGCTCACGTAAATTTTAGGTTTTCGTTCTTCCCGTTCTTGCACTCGTGCAAAAGACTTGGTTGTGGTGCAAGTTTTAACATCCGAATAACATAACTGTCACCTCTTTTTTTCGTTTCAGCTGAAAGATTCGATAGTCTTCGTGATCCTTCTAGCTCGCATGGAAAAAGACTTCCTCGCCAACAAACCATGGACCGAAGTAAAGATTATCCACGAGTTGGCCCGCCTGCGAAGGTAAATATCCTCTGTCGCAACACTATCGTAATACATAAAGCAGATCTTACTCACTCACTTAAGAGGCCAAGTAATAGTAGGAAGTTAATTGTTATGACTTAGGTAAAGCTTCACATTGTTTAGTAAGAAAACAGTGATTAAGGAATATGAACCGTACAAGGAACACTAAAAATATGCTTTTCCTTTGCTTTCATCTGTGGTACTAGAAAAGTAGATTACTGACAGCTACAAATAATAATAATAATAAAGGCGGGAAAAAAGAGCACGGGCCGAGCTCATACTTTAAAGCGCCGTTCACACATATGAAACCGAGTAAGACCGAGAGGGACCAGACCGGTTTTAAGCCTCTTGCGACGTCTTAGGAGCGGATGCGATGCTGCGTAGCTGGTCCTAAGACGTCGTACCTTTCTCTCTCGGTCTTATTCGGTTGTAAGTGTGTGAACGGCGCTTAATCGAGTATGCAGTGTTAAGTGAATGTATTAAATGTCGTGATCAGTGTAGCATCTCAGCTTTCCAAGTGCTCCGCTGCAAAGCATTACCGCACGACTACTTTTGAGGGTTCAGAGCTCTTCGGACCCTTCACGATACCTTTCATTGGCATGCTCGTACTCCTGTCATTTGTGAGCTTGGCATTTAGCGTGTGTCTATTGTGAAGCATATCGCAGTAACGGACATTATTACCTGGCTGGCGGAAAATATGTCCACAATCCCTGCTCTTATGAAGTTCTCTTATCTGCCTTGTGATGATGCCCGAAGTTACTATAATAAGCGCACGATATTATTATTTTCTTGTTTTCATTTACAGATCATAAGCTTTCACTGAGTGCCGATCGTTCTGAATCTTAGCTTGAGATTAGAAGCAACTACATTTGAGCTCCGTCTATCGGGCCTGTATTGCATGTCCAATGATGTTTCACGTTTGTGACGTCACCATGAGATGACTCTTACGAAACGCAACGTTAATGATTTAAACACACACACACACGAAAAAAAAAAAAAAACTAATTTTGATAGAAGCTCGAGCCCCATACTTACCTTACATTCCTATGGTTCACCCGGCACGTAAAACTATTTCAGCACTTTTATGTCGACCCTCTGATGCTTATTTGATGTTTATTGCGCGGAGCGTCAGGTTCATCGTAATTTATATTATATCTTGTGTGGCATTTATGGTCGAAGAGAGTGTACTCAAATCATATATGTTCAAGTACCTTCCTGTTAGCTTTTTTGTTTTTATCAAATCATTAATTTTTATATTACTTAGGAGTCGCCACGGGAACACTCTAAAATTAAGGTCTGTATGTCCGCTTTTTGTTTCCAGAACGCAAGACAACAATTCAGGGTGAACAATAGAACGATCCCTGCGACTGACGAAGCACGGAATATAAACTTTGAAATGTACGCAAAGGCAATGATCATGGCGTTTCACTTGCTTATTTTTGTTGAGCCCACCGAAGTTTTTAGATCTGCCTGTATTATGAGCTTCGATGTTCGCTTGGATCATTCTGATGTCCGCCATAATTAGTTGCCTCGTGTTTTACAGGAAAACCAACTCACAGACCTTTCTTTTTTCTTAGGGAGAAGGCCGTGGCCTTTTAATACTCTGGTAATGACAGACATGCTTGCACGTAAACGTTTGAAAGCAAGCACATCCAATAAACCAGACTTAAGGTCAGAAAGGGCACAGTACATTCACCGGTCTGGCGAGTGCGGGCACTTCTTTATTAACAGGGCTTAAGGATCGGGTGATGTCCACACAGCAACAGTAAAATGACTGCGTCTAGAGGCCGTACTAGCAAAAGTTAGCGCTAAGAAATAATATAGGCCTACTGCTAATCGGCGTCTGTCGCAAAAAAAAGAAAGAAAAGGTATGCACCGTTTTAATTTCATTGTCACGTCATTGGCCGCAGAAGACATGCTGGCTTATGATGGCATTCCTATATAGTTTTGGTAATTGGCTCCTGCTTGTCCTCATCAGGTGATTTATTTGTCTCATAGAATGCCTACATATATAACAAGAATACCGGCTCTGTCACACCCCATCATAAATTATCAGTGGTAATACTCTGCGCACACATTAGTGCCTGAAAGCGTCTTAACGTGTTCTGCTATATTTTGCGCGTATTCTGGCTTCAGAAAGAAGCGTTTATCATTTATGATCGGCATCTTCAGAGTATTCGAATAGTTCTCGTCAATGGGGCAAGGGGAAATCGATAATAAAATGTCCCTCGGTTTCCATGCATGGTGAAGTCAGCAGCACCACTACCGAGGTGAGAGCTTCAGCACGGTGGCCGCCGTTGGGCCTCACACATCTATGGTCAACTACGCCACCAGGACCAGGGACCCCGGTGTCGTGCTCAACGGCAGCGTGATCCTCATCGACTCCGGGGCTCAGTACCTGTAAGAAACGTGTAACGTAAAAATAACGGCGCATGTGCGAATGTTAAGCTCTACATTTGTTCCAATGTCTTCAAATATGTTCCAAAGGATGCCCCGGTGGGGCGAGGTTTGTAACTCAAGAGATCAAAAATAATATCTAAAAATGAGTGCAGGCCTGAAGACAAAGAACGGGCCTCTTTTTTCTTGAAAACAAAATTTTCGGCGTAAAGAAAACAAGTCATTTCGTGTCTTTTTTTTTTTTTATGAAGAAGGTTTTGATGTATTTAATGTGTCCAAAAAGTATCCATAGATGGGGAGCAGAACGCCCGATTAGGCCTCCAAACTTCTCATACCCTAGTTACATGGGCACCCTTAGCCGCAGTTAAGTGTGCCTGAGGTCAGACTTAACTGCGGTTGTGCCCGACGGGCATCCTTAACCGCAGTTACGCCTGAGTATTGTTATCAGTGACTGCCTTAGTTAAACGGGCACCCTTAAATCGCAGTTAAGCAGGACCTGTGTTACATTACTAGTCACGCCGTATACTTGTCAAGACGTCTTACTATAAAAAAGAAGTGACCAAAAAGGCCTCTCGACTGCGGTTTGGTTAGAGAGCAGGCACGCATAAATGACAGCCATAATCGGGTACAGGCTAAGGATTGAGAGCGCACTCCTCCTCCATCTCGAGCTTTCTGCCTTTGGGAACGCTTCGTTGCACGCGCCACGAAGCCCGGGGAAAGACAACAAGCGCGAGATGGAGGCACAGCGTCCACTGAATTCTTAAAGGCCCGTTCACACACTTGCAACTGAGTGGGACCGATTGAGACAAGACCGGTTTTCAAGCCTCTTGCGACGGCTTAGGACCGGATGCGCTGCTGCGGAGCAGGTTCTAAGCCGTCGTAAGAGGCTTGAAAACCGGTCTTGTCTCAGCCGGTCCTACTCGGTTGCAAGTGTGTAAACGGGATTTTAGCCCGTCACCGACCACATAATAGTATTTTATATTCACTCCCCACTATTCGCCTTTCTTTGCTACAACTCAAGTGTTTTACTTCTTTTCTCCTTTCTTTCTTTCTTTTTTTTTTTTTTTTTGCTCCTGCGGATTTGGTTCGCAGAGGCAAAACTCGTGAAGCTTGACAACGTCTTAGCCTCCTCTTGACGTACAATGAATTACACAGAAAGGAACCAGAGTACACAAGCAAACACTTTCCATGGGGGCTATCAAATTCTATACGGGAAAGCACGAAAAATGGCATACTTGTGCAAAAGAAATTATTATACAATATTGTTCTGTGATAAAAAATAAATAAACTACAGTAAAAACAAATATACATAAATGTACAACGAGAATATCAAATAGAATTTAGAAAACAAAAACGCACATAACAAATTAAGATCTATATAATTAAGAAATAACTGTATGCGCTAACTTACGATATGATCTGAGAAGCAAAAACAAAATTAGAAACCTACAGCTGTACATAAATAAAACCAGAAACACTCGATGCAGTAATCATTTCCGATACAGCAAAAAGGCCCAAAAACATTAAGAGAAGCCAAATACCATTGGCAACAAGATACGCTCTAGTATTCTGTTTAAACTGACAGTGCCCTTCGATCTCTTGTATATCCAGAGTGAACAGGCAGGTGGTTCTGTCATGTAATGTTCATAATATGAACATCGCGACCGACAGGGAAGAAGAATGACTGGACGACACAGCGCTCGTGTCGTTCAGTCTTTCTTCGTCCTTGTCAGTCGCGTTGTTTAAATTATGAATACGTGCCAACTAGCCCAGATATCCGTTCTGTTAAAATGTAATGTTGTACGGAGGTTTACTTTGTTTGGGTTGTTAAAGTTAAAACAATTTTTAGTTATGTTTTATTTTATTTTTGATTCCAACGATTAGAGTGTGGGAGAAACATATTATCTTCCACCAGGGACGGTACCACCGACATCGCCAGGACAGTTTATTATGGAGTTCCGTCAAAATACGAAAAGGTGAGTGCTCGTTTTACTTCGAGAACGTGTAATATATATATCGAGCATTACAAGCGTGTTTTTCTTTTATTATCTTCTTTTAGGAGATTTACACGAGGGTCCTGATCGGGATGATTGACCTGTTTCTCACGGTATTTCCTGAAGGCACCAAAGGTATGGCTCTAAAAGCGATGTCTTTCATAACAGCTTTAAAGCTTTCTAACTATAAGTTAGCCTTCATCCAGTGTTTAACCTCTGCTCCCAAATCAGGAATGAAGTGTGTCGGCAGTAGAGTATATTCATGCAGCGGATCATATATTCCGGTTGCTTTCAGCTTTGAACGTGCATCCTCAATAAGAAAGTCGTATACCTTACCGACGAAAGGAACGAATTGCAGGCGTGCGTTACTTGTAAGAACACAAATTCTAAAAAAAAAAAAAAAAATTGGGTTTTGTGTGTGTTTATGCAGCCTAGAACTTGGTCTGCCTCACAGGGGCGACGAGTCTCTCAGCTGTAGATGAGAAATTTAGCCAGTGCGGTACAGCCGCTAGCCTAGGGTCTTTAACGTGCACCACGCAGTAGTGATACACGACCGCACGCCGGCACGATGCTCATCCAGATCGAAACGGGCAGGGGTGGGGCTCGAACCCAGGATCCCTGGGTTCTGCAGCGTGGCCAGGCTTTCTGCGTGCTTTGCTACCTAATTAGTTTTTGGTACGGTCAGTTGTTCAGTCAAAATTCTTCACAGATTAGCGCGAACGAGGATCGATTTTTCTAAATATGGGAACTTCTATCTCCTATTTTAACGACTGAAAACAGATATATTATCGAAATATGCCAGCGATGACGCATAATTAAAAAAATATTTTAGGTAATTAATTTGCTTGTTATCACGTTAGACTCGTACTCGTAATTCCCCGGGGCAGTGATGTGAATTTGAAACAACTACAAAAAAGTAGTAATTGTTCTTAATTTCTACTTCCTTTCTGCCGAGCTACCCGCTTCCTGGAGTAAACTGTATCGGCTGACATGTAAAAATATTAGTTCTCTGATTATTTTTAGCAAAGAAAAACGTCATTTATGATAATAAATAAAATGCCGAAATTAAAGAAAGAAAAGAAAGTAGAGTTGGTTTTGCGGAGCCTTTGAAACAAGGTTCCTCTTTTATATATATTTTTTATTTTTTCGTCTACAGACATTTCTCTGGACGTTGTCGCACGGCGGTCACTCTGGAGCGTAGGACTAGACTTTCTTCACGGCGTCAGTCACGGACTGGGCTCTTACATGTCGGCCCACGAACGTAAGCCACAAAAGTAGTAATAATTACTAATTTTGCTTTCATGATCCCTCGTTTCTGTTCGCTCATGCGCCGATGCGTAATGTAGCAGTGTGTAAAAGCGCACAATTAAGTGTTAGGAATAATAGTAAGAAAATGCTTTATTCCGCTGCTTTCATATAAAATACAATGACTGAAATCAGAGAGCCGTTTGCAAACCAACCAAGTCTCCATAATAAAAAGAAAGCGTAGACCTGTTTGCCGTAATGTTTGTTGCTTAGCAACATTTACCCTCGTTTCTTTTTCTTTTTTTTTTAACGTTCAAACCGAGTCAACCAGCTTAAGTTTCAATCTTATCATTACTATCGGTGCTACACTATATCACTGCGCACAATGCAGACGCTTCTTGAAGATTGAGCGTATGCAGATTAGTCTTAAACAAGGTAATTTCCTTAAATCTTGTATGCTGCGCTACTAACTAGTTGCTTAAGAAACGGATACTTAAAGCCGTTGCCAAGCTCTCTAGAAAGCGGAGTCAAAGCACACGTCATCCTAGCAGCCCGTGATCCGGACCTGGTCCGACAGCGAATAATTATCAGTCGGGTTGTGAAGTGTGTACGCGTTGATCAAAAGGCGGATCAACTGAGTTTTTGTTTTTCTTTTTTTTTTTCCCGTTCAGATCCACCACTTATATCACCGCTTAGCAGAGGATACCCTCTCCTGGCTGGTATGGTCTTGTCGAATGGTAAGCCCTCAAGATCAATTCACGTGCTTGCTCGAAAGTGCGTTGGAGCTATTACTACCACCACAAAAAATAAACTGCGTCGAAGCAGGGCGATAGACATGGAGCCTGAGTATGCCATATGCACACTAAAATAAGTTTCCAGTGAGCAATGAACCTAATTCTGATTAAACAAAATCTGAAATTTCAGAAAGGAAAGCCTATAAATAATGAAGCAAAGTTTATTTGAAGATACGTGTCAAAATTGTTTACTAAACATTTAGGGGAAAAAATGGTTCTTTAAAGGTTCTTTAGTTATAATATATATATATATATATATATATATATATAAACAAAGACCGACCGTCACTTCTCAGTCACTTCTCTAAAATGTTTGACTTAGTATTTTTAGTACTCAACCTTCGTTGTAGAACTTTAGATTGTTCCTAAAAAAATATATCACGCCATTTACTCTCCTCCATGCGCACAAAAACAGTAGCTGCTCACTCTAGACAGACTTTATTCGTCATTGTTTCATCAAACTTACAGAGCCGGGTTTCTACGAAGAAGATAAGTTTGGCATAAGACTGGAGACAACCATGGCAGTCAGCTCCTTTAACACCTCTGTAAGTCTATCTTTCCAGAACCCTGCCACTATAGTAATCAGCTAGTGAATTCTCTAAGAAACCTAGCGGCGTACTGTTAATCGAGTTGTCGTGGCCCTCCAGTACAGATTCATGTCCCAGAGGTTCTGTCGGTTCGAGCCCATCACGTTCGTGCCGTTTGATGCCAACCTCATTAGCTGGGAACTGCTGAGCAGAACACAGGTTTGAACATTCCTTGCTTAAATCTTGGTGATTTATGCGATTCTGAAGTTTGGCCTTGCTTGACCTGCCAAAGAATGGGCACTGTTAGCGAACCCGTACACACAAATAAATTAATGACCAGTTCTCATCGCGTCCTTCGTGGAGTGTTTAAACTCGGGTTGATGTGCGCACGGAGAATGTTCTACTCTAAACATTTTTTCAGGTACGCTTTATAAACATATGTTCGTAAAAAAAAATTAGTTTTTTTATTACGTGCTTAGAAAACGTCTTATCTGTACATTTGAACACAATATGCCGTTGGCACTTTCAATATTTAAACAAAGAGCTTGCCTACAACTGGTAATGTACTTGAGTGAAAGCCCTCTAAACCTCGTAAAATGATGTCAATATTATGATCGCATATTCTTTAGAACACGAAACAGCAGAAAATGTTTAGGTTTGTGCGGTGCCCGGGTAGGAGGGGGGGGGGGGGGGGGGTTGGAAGAAGAGTAATCTTATAACGACGTTCCAGCCCCTGGTCACAGCAATTGAGAAAATATGGCCTCAGCCAAGCATATTATACTCCCAGAGAAAAACAAAAAAACATCCCAGATAATGGTAAAATTCACACGTAAAAAAAAAAGGGAACTTTAAGAGTGTACAGTTGAGGAGAGAAACACACGATAACTGATATAAACTTTACGCGGGACAGTGTGTCTGACGACGCAACTTCATGGCGCGAATATGCTGCCCGCTGTCGCGAAATTTCGGCCGGTGGCGTTCGCTTAGCGCGCGGCGTCAGAACAGTGGCCGCTACAGAGCGAACGTAGTGTCGGACGAAGTTCGTCAGTTGTACGGCACACATGCGCTTCACGTAGTCCATCCCTAACGTTATGGTGTGTTCTCTACGGGAAAAGCGACTGACAGATCTGAGATCGTCGTTTTTGTATCGCTTGCTGCCTTCATCCGTGCAAACGCGTGCAGCTTTGGCAGGCTTGAGGAAAAAAAAAAAAAGTCGTGAATGAAGAGAAGCACGGCGGCGATCATACTTTCCGCTTGGAATCGCGTATCGTCTGTTGCAACATAATATCTGCAAAAGAAGTTGCGCCACGAAATGTCCTACTCAACAAAAACACATAGTTTTCCTGACACCACGGAATGGGACACCGCGAAACATGCGCTTCTATAACTACACACATGTTCTTACAAATTAACTGCATGCGCTCTATCGAATTGTCTGATCAGTGGTCTATATAGACGCTGACAAAGTGAAAACTTCGGGGAGGACCTTCTGTTGTCCCGCCTTCAGCACGAGTGCCACGAGCTTCTTATCGTTGACAACGCTTCGGCAACTTGCGTACCCCGAGCTCGCGAAGCAGCATAAGCACAAAGTAAGGCAACAACCGGATGCTAGAGGCTGGGAATTCTAACGACAATTCCTGCCGTTCTCACTTCCTCAGTAACTAGAGCACCCGGCACTGAGCGGTAGCTTGCCAGAAGCAGGTCAATGACACATAAGCGGTCTTTTGTGTGCGAGGAGTTCTGCTTTTTGCGATAAGGAACCTCTTCTGCAGATTCCATTTTGCAACAGATTTAGCTCAGCGTGCGATAAAAACCAGCCCGGAGGCGCGAGCTTGCAACTCTCGCCAGTGCATAATGCGGCAGCGATAAGCTTATGACCGATCACTGCATGTGCTCAGCGCCCTGAATAACGTCGCTTGCGAAATAAATCAGGTGAAAGCTTGCGGTTGGCACTCCCTTGAAAAAAACGCACACACACAACAAGGAAGAAGTTTTGTGAACTAACTGCCTCGCTTAAATGGTGCACTTTAGGTGGAGTGGCTGAACGACTACAACGCGCGTACCTTGGACATGGTGGGCAGCGAGCTGAAGCGAATGAAGAACTCCGAGGCGCTGACCTGGCTGCAGGCGAAGACGTTCAAGGTCGAGCTCAAGAACTCTTCTGGGCCCATTCTACGCGTCTCGGGGCATCACGGCATGACACACCCGAATGGTGCTGATGGAGACCACTCAAAGTACCTGGATCGAAAATCGCACGGTGCAGGTTCCTCTGGCTGGAACTCGGCGCCATCGAGCCTTCGACCGACGCGGACATTGCTGGTGTGCGTGGCTGGTGCCACTCTTCACCTGGCTTCGAAGCTGTGCTTCTGCTACTAAGTGGTACGCGTCTGGTAACGATGTGGACATTAGGGTCAGCGTGAACATGTATACTGAGCGTGTCAGGCTTCTTTGGGTTTACGTCGGTCTTCTTGGGTGGTGGTTGCATCTTTTATCTGTGTCAACTTATGAGTTTCGCGTGAACGAAGACAGTAAAGCTATCGCGTTATTTCGTGTGCAGAAGAACCGTGTCCCATGAGTTTATCTGTCAGTTCGGAGGTGCGGTAACACGCCTTGTGGGACTACTGTTTTTGAAGTACGAAACGAGAATGGTGCAGGTCATCATTACTGCCTCCATGTTCAGATTATAAAACTTTGCAGCTTTGAGGATCGCGGCCTTTGCGGCAATCTGGAAATCGAACAGAAACGCCTGCTCTAAGAAAGCGACTTGGTCCGGGGTCTGCCGCTGCGGTCACTTCGTCCAGCGCGTTGTGAGACATTCCACTGGCCTGGCACACGTCCAGAAACAAAAAAAGGAAAAAGCATAAAAAAATAATCATGAGAACACAGTCATAGAAGAAACGCGTCATCTTCACGTGTCCTGTTGTACTATCTAATTGCAAGAGCTCGGTTATCACGCCACATATTCCCACCATGAACAGATCGTGCCAAATGAAGGTCAGCAGAGAGGCAACTCTGTCGCTTTCGATTACCATGAGGGAGACGTCAGCGTGCTGGATCCGTAAATATTGAAGCGATCGCGCACAGTGATTCTAGCTTTTCAATTCTCGAAACCTTATGTGAACAGACGCGAACTTGTAGAAGATAATCCAACGTGTGAAATAGTTGAATTCAATCCCTAAATTAGCCATCGAAATTATCAGCCTAGCCAACAAGGCATGCAGTGTAGCAGCTGCGTGCAGGATACCGGTGAGTCCAATTCCGCCATGAACACAGCGAACCAGAAAACGCACAAGTATAATTCTCGAGTCCTCGAGCGAGAAGTTTGTAAAGATTAGGATGAACCTCGAAGCAAAGCAAAGGCACAAAAACGTGGTCATTGCCAGGGCTCCTCTCCGTGTAAATGCGGCTTCGTTTGGATGGCTCAGGATGGTGCGGGGGACAGTGCAGTAGCGTGTTAATTTACGGTCGTTGTTTTCTCAGGAACGCCAAAGTGAAAAGGGTCACGAACGGTCTGACAAAGAGCATGAATCCGGCACCGACTAGTTTTATGCACATCAGCCAAAGCCCGGCGACCGTACTGTAGATAGTGATGACTACGTTTAGAGCGTGAACGAGGTTATTCCAAAGTTTGTCGCAGGGGGCAGAAGATCTCGTCAGGTTGTCATTAGAGGAGATGCATATACTCATGAACGGGAAGATACGCATGAAAGGCTTGTATTGCACGAGCGAGTCATCGGCGCCTTGGAAGTATGAAACAATCCGATCATGGCGCAGACTGCTCCTCGCAGGGTCTGCGGTCGTATAAGTGGAACGAACGAAACGAGTGCCTTTCCTGTTGAACCATGTTGGTGCCGTCACGCGCAAAAGTAATTTCTTCAAAACGGACCAGCTCTTCGTACGCGACCTCAGGAAAAAGATGATTTATGGTGGCCCTACGAATAGCTCCCTAATTACACTACGGTGCCGTACAATTCTTCGTCGCATGTAAGCTCGTGTAGTTTTTATCACTCCGCGAATCATGCTGAACAACCTGTCATTGCGAGTCGCATGCTGTTCCTACATTGGTAAAGGAAGATACAAAGCTCGGGAGGTACATCCAGACTTTTTGATGGCGCTGTCGAGACGCTTAGTTGGGCAGTGATGTTTTACGCTGCGCATTAAGCTCGCTTGCAAATAGGCACCGCAAACATTTGTCATCCTGTTGTTGCGCGCGGCCTCTGGTAGCAGGGCAGTTCCTAAGTCGGCGTCTTGTTATTTTTCTCCGGCATCGTTTGAAAGAAAACAACGTATATGGAGCCGTTGCGACCAAAGTGTCGTTAATAACGTCCCTTGGAACGTCGCAGCTGGCAGGCGAAAAGGTCGCGGCAGTTTTTACGAAGAGCGGCGCCTCGCCCGTGACAGGATGCGCTTCTGGCCCTGTCGTATAGCTCTGCTGGGTCGATCTCGGCTTCCAGGGCAGGCGCAACGCCGGAACCGCCCGCGTGACAAAGTATCACGCCCCGTCAGCCGAAATACTCTGAACCGCATTCGAGCGCCACGCCGTAAAAAAAGTACGTTGGGTCGAGCAGAAGCAGCGACCAACATCGCTCGCTACATGCTGAAAGATCATGGGGACAGTTTTATGTCAGTGACGTTCCGTTCCAACCTGGCAACCCTCTAGGGGAAAAAAACAAAACAAAGCAACAGAAACGCCCATAACCAAGAAGAAAAAAAGGAAACAGAAGAAAAAAAAAAGTGTGTGTGTGTGTGTGTGGGGGGGGGGGGGGGGGGGGGGAAGGGGGGGTATGTGAGATATGTTTTTTTTCTTTTTTTCTCTCGACCTGCCAGCACGTGGTTGCTTACTTCGGGGAAAGAGGGGTAGGCTCTGCAAGGTCCTTCGGCTACTCGGCGTACCTGGTCACCACCACAATGCGCATAAATCTGCTGCGCGAGTGTTTTTATAGAAGGGCAACCTTTAGCGGTGTCTCGCATCTTTTAGGAACGTATGGCAGCTTGTTAGTGCTCGATAGGTTTAAGAGGGACAGTTAAAAGCGCTTCACGAGGTTCCGAAATGCTGGCGCTTGTTACGACGTAGGAAGCGGTGGGCGTATATGCTACAGGCCCCTAAGTTCTAAAGAGCTGTGATTTGAGGCCGGTCAGTAAGACAGGTAAGTTATGAGAGCACAATTTCTTCTTTTGTTCTGCGACGTAAAAGTTATTCTAGCGTCGCCCCTACATCATTTGTTTAGGAAATATTCCTTCCTTTTATCACTGCTTGCATTTTAATATTAAGTGCATATATTACGTGCCCTACCGCCTGCTTTTTTTTTGTAGCAGCTATCAATTATATTCATACTTTAAAGGGGCGGTGCAACGATATTCAATTGGAATGTTTTTTTGTTTTTTTTTTCACTTTACATGAGCTTACCGGCACTAGTGGGACTCAATAATTTTTGCACGCAACGCCACTGACCAAAAAACTCCTTTGTTGCGCTGTAATTTCGAGGACAAAACAGAGTGTTTTCATTCAATCTCTCCTTCACAAAACCTGATGACCTAGCTGGGCGGTAGCAGTACCGCCCAGTGACGATATTTGTATTGCGGCTCATAGATTGGACCCGAGCATGGCGTGGACACTCGATTTGGGCTCGTGATAATCGATAGCTCGAGACGCATTCGGGTAGTGTCCTGTGTCCAATCGCTGCAACGACGACAACAGCCGAACCATAAGGATGTCTGGAACTCAGCGCGTGTCCATTGCCTTGCCAACCCCTGCGCATGGCTATGATCAACATTGGCGGCATATAGACGCTTTACACACGCGCCAAATTACAGCCGCCATTGCTGCCCTTCTCTTGTCTTTCCCAGTTGCCGAGCCACTAAAGCGGACGTTGACAAGCCTCCAGAAAGGCCAATGCTGCGGACAAGGACACTTCAGAAACTAAAATGGCAATAACCTGCCCCGCTATGGTAACGATGAAGTGAAGTAAATGTAATAATAGGAAACAAGAACTGAAGGTCGGTTATGGCGGCGCCCATGCACAGCTGCTGCAAAGCGTCTATAATCGGCTCCAGATCACGTGGCCGCTCGTTCTGGCTGCGAGTTGAGGGGGCGAACTCTGCTCGTTTTTCTTTTTTTTTTTCTGTGACTTCGATTGCGTGTGGTGTCAAACGAACAGGTATTTCACAGGTCATTAACGTCAGGGATCCGTTCTAAGCGGTATTTGCGCAAAATACAAAAATCGTTGCATCGCCCCTTTAATAGGGTACTCACGTTTTGAATGCCAATACACCAGGTGATTGGAAAATGTTCATGAATATATCTGCTGGTCGTCGATAGGATAACATACTATAGGAAATATTCTCGAAAAAAGTGATTAAATGTGATGGACCACAATCACGAAACTAACAAAGCATCAGTCCCAAACAAAAGTTTACCGAAATGCCATTCGCTTGTTGCATCCCTCGGAACCCTGGATATCAACCAACTTTAACTCGATTATCAGGTTAAGCTATCATCGCAACAAAAAAACTCCATCTCAACTTTTCCGCGACCTCCACTGTATCGTGAGAGCGATTCTTTCGAAACATGGGAACTGAACGACGCCCCGTCAGGAACTGTCTGAGCACGTATACGCTCTCAATCTCTTTGCCCCGCCTAGCCCGGAGGTCGAACGAGATACAAAAAAAAGGAAATCACGAAAACGAAGAGTCACTCACTTAGAAGCCGAGAATGCCTTATTAAGGATCCGTTGTGGGAGCTTTATGGGCCGGAAAAATCGGGCCACACGGCGGGCACAAAAGGGGACCTCGAGGCCCGGCCGGCATCCATCTACGTCAAGCCGCGTTCGTCAGATAGCGTCAGCGATAGCAGAGAAGAGAGGGGAGCTCTGCTGTAGCGCAAGCATGTGCACGGTGGGACGCTTCAGCAACAAACGAGTAGTTCCCGACTTGGGCGCTCGAGAAACTTTCTCCGCCCTTTGAAGAGCGCGCTTTCTTTGGGAAGAGCGTGTACTATGTATCGCCGCGCGATTGGTGCCAAGCGGTTCCAGCAACGAAAGCCACGCGGGAAGATGACAAAGGCTCCTTAATGATGTAACGGTACTGGCTTCAAGGACCTCGCTGCCAGTGCCTTTTTAAATGCTGCCGAGGAGAAGGGGAGAATACGTTAGGAATGGGAGGTCGGAAAAGGGGGAGGGAGGGTTCTCGTTCACAGCTCGTTGTATCGCTGTCCAACGTTTGAAACTTACGGTGTTCTGCCTAAAGCCCGTTCTGCCAAATTTGAGATTAATGTTAAAACCAAAACTGTAGCTTGTTACATTTGTGTTTTTCTTAAAGCTTCATTTTTTTTTGGCATTTTTTTGTTGTTGCTTAGGTTTATCTGTTTGCGAAAGCTC